TGATAATAATAAGTAGCGTTACATGAGTAGCATTACATTTGAATGTAGGTCTCCTTATAGATCATTTTATACATTGTTGTACTGTTATTAATGACATTTAGTACAGAATATGAGTATTTCTTTCTCAGCCAGTGCACAATATTGTGCAGCAACTGAGCAAGGGGTAACAACCTGCATACTTTATATGAGGATAGTTTTCTTTTGGGACTTGGCACAGACTTACATTCATTCCCTAGATGTGCACACAAGCCCCAAACAACACAGTCCTAACCAGCAGTGTGAGCTTAACTCAATTTGGCAGAACCCCAATTGAGACAAAAACATTTTCTTTATCCTGAATGCTACTGCAGCGAAAAACAAAGACAAACAGTGGACACACATTTTGTCTGCACTCGGACAATCTGTTTCTCCTAATGGGAAATCTATGAGACTTAGACACACAAGCGGACACAATGCCTTTCTCTTGTAGAATATCCCTAAAACAGATCAACCATTTATCTATTATCAATTCTTCCTCTAAAAACTCATTACACTCCGATTAAGACTTTTCCAAATCACCTCACGATTGACAGCACTAACTTTTCCCGCCTTCCACTGATTCTAATAGAAAATTTAAAATGTTGTTTATGGGCGTGGCCATGATTAAAAATCATGGAAAAGAATATTGTGAGGAATAAAGTTCGCTTGAAAAAGTTAGTCTCACAGTAATGGGCCCCACCGTGAGGCAGCCAGTAATGGGACCTGCTGCCATTTACTCCTCTTTCAGCCGGCATCAATAATGTAACTCCATTTACACGGTAGCGTTTCTACAAAGGTGGCTTCTCAGAGAGGTTTGTCTCATTCCAACAGCGCTCAAGCCTACAAGGTGAGAGTAGCATGCGTGGACGTGTGTGTGTGTGTGTGTGTGTGTGTGTGTGTGTGTCTGTGTGTGTGTGTGTGTGTGTTGGATGAGGTGAGAATTTTTGTAACTGTGAACTCAGAGGTCAAGCATGACTCATGAGATAAGTGCTGCTGAGCACTGGATTTTGGAAGTGAGAGGCGGTGTGACTCGGAGGGGAGATCCAAATAGGAAATTAGAAAAACCTCATGACTAGTGTGATGGAAGAACGAAGCTGTTTTGCTTGTGAGATAATGTGAGGGGTGAAAGAAGGAAACGTGACTGAGACCATCAGAAATAGTCCATCGTTGAACGACTTTCATTAACACAGCAATAACGTAGTAATAAGTGTATTAGCTTCTCATCAGTGTCCTTCCATCCTCTTAGCAAACTATATCAAGTCTTTAAGCAAACAAAAGCAAAGCACCAAGGCAAAGCCTTTTCTGAGAGGTTAGCAAAGCTTCACATGATTCCTTATTTATCCCAAGTTTCATTACAGAGCCAATCATCTTTGCTATGGTTGCCCGATTTTATCATTATCAAGCAATTGTTCTCAGCTAGGAACTCATCAACGAGGTTAAACAACAAATCTACTTCTTTATCGGGTGAGAATAGTGCTGAAATGATGTAGCAGCTATAGACTTAGGTTTGTGACCGAGTCATTTGAATGGGAAAAGCACCGTCTACTGGCCACAGGCAAGAATAGCAACACACTGGATGGGGGCGGCTATGTGGATAGTTGTGAGTAAATATGGAAGGTGCTTGGACACTTAGAGGACATGCCTGCATCACAGGACGTCAGAAGTGATTCACACTGAAATTCAAACACGTGCTAGTTTCATTTGAAAGGAATTAAATGACTCACTAGTACAACTAAGAAGCAAAAGTGGCCATTTAGAATGAAAATGAAAAACAAGAATGAATGAAAATGAATCAGCCCAATTGTTGTGCTTTGGGTCCTGGAGACCCAGGCCCTTGTTAACAACACAAAAACATATTTAACATTGTTTTATCAGCTTGATACTTCCTGACTTTAACTTAATTGATGAGAATTTCTTATAAACATAATTTATAATTGATGACATGATAGATTACCCTTGTTTGGGGTCTCTGAGACCCGAGCTGTAAGAAAATAGTTAAATACAAACGATTTTACATTATCTAAATCTGCGATCGGTGTTGACAGTACTTTTTATTCAACACTACTTCTCCCAAATCCCAAATAAGTCTATTTGGATTTCTATTAGAGTTTTATAACAGTTAGTGCATAAGAGGTCTAACAGGGAGTTAAACCTCAAATGTAGATATCATAATTTAAATGTGTAATTACAATACTTTATGGCTGTTTTGTCACCTTTAATAAACATGTAGGCCCAGGTTGTGGTTAAGAGAAATGTTACCACTAAATACTTCTCAACATATTGGGTTTAATGAGGTCAGAAAAAAAAAAAAAAAGAATTAATGCAAAACAATCTCGCAGTAATTATTATTTTACAGCAGAAGGGTCTGTGGGACCCCAAACAATGATGGAACACCGCTTTCAACAAAACAAAACAGGTAAATCATTACCCAAACGATTTCTCAAATAAAATAACCCTTTTGTGATTATTTATCAAGCTAAATAAATGTAATTTCTTCTCGTTACCGTGCTATGTTGAATCTGCCAATAGAAGTGAACAAACTGAAGCTGGTGCAGGGTGAATGAGTTTTTTTTGTTTTGTTTTGTTGTTCCGTCTTGATAATTACCATATCATTCATCTACAGCATTAGCATGATATTGTGCTGAAACTGTATTTTAATCAAAAATAAACTAACCAAAAACTGCAATTCTGATCAAGTTCGAGAACAAGCATCACTTCATCTCTGTCCACACAACTCATCCAAGTCTCTATTTGTATTGATTTGTCAGTCATTCAGCTCTGTGCGAGTGTGGATTCAGTGTCCACCCCCCGGCTGACCTTAACAGTTTGAATAACCCCGGTGCTTCGGAGATGCACTGACTCTCCTCACGTATGAGACAACTATGTATTTTGCTCTGGTAGGGGGCTAATACAGCGTGATAGGTTCGGGTTGGCCGACACTGTGTGTGTGTTCGTGATCTCAGCGGAGCGTCTGCGGATGATAGGGGTCACTGACACTGCTTGTTTCTTGCTGGGCAGGAGCTCACGGAGCGGACAGATGGGTGGAACAAAGGTCTATGAAAACGACCCGCAGCTTCCTTCTGTCTATCATCACTACAAACACACACACACGCACGCCGCGCATAACTGACACAAACACACTAATACATATGCTTATTATGTGTGTGTGAGCAGAATTCCTTGGATGATGTATTTCCTCAAAAAAGACATGTGCTTTTTAATTATTGACTCAACATTGTAAACAACATACTTTTTCTTTTCATTTGACCCGTATAACATTGCTCCTGCCCAGGCTTGGGTTATCATTATATTATTCTTTATTTGGATCCCCATTAGTCTCCACAAAGCAGGCATCTGGTCTTCCTGTGCTCAATGTCTTGTTATGTCTTGACGTATAAAAGAGATCAGAAGAAAATACTGTCTCCCCATCTGTCGTGTACTCAAGTGGCCCGTCTAGATATGAAATGGAACGCTGTCCCAAATAAAATCAGGACTTTTAAACTGCAGTTTAAATTTCCAGTCATGAGGCCGAGGCAGCCTTGGTCGACAGCTGTCGTATATTTGCTTCTCCTTTCATACAGCACGGGGGAATATGGAGGGAAGGAGACACTGGTGGTTGTGCTTCTATTACCTGCATTAGTGACTTTAACCTTTGATGTTACATGATCTCCTTGGGACATGATAAACCACTAACTGTTGGACCAGGAGGGAAGTGATATACAATTTTACATCATCCACTGAAAAACATGCCTATTTAACTCCTTTTAAAAAGTGCATATTTGTATCAGAATGGTGGATATGTATTCATTGTCTCACTTTCAAACCACAGGTTTTCTTCGCCCTCAGTGTTTAGACAATATTTTGTTGTTTCTTCCTTCTGATATTTGTTCATCTTCTCCCTGTCTCACCCCGTGTGGGCTTCTTTACTGTGTGGCTTTGCTAAGAAGGACAGAAAGATGTTATTTTTCCATCAGCGGTTCATGTTTTCGACCACCTTTAAAAGGTTTAGCTTTGTTTGTGCAAGAAGAAGAGCAGTGTCCTCCTGTTTTGTGCCATAAGAAAATCAATTTCCACACAGGAATCTAACCTGGCATCAATTCAAAATAAAGTGCAGCCTATTAATCTTTCCTGCAGTGGACTCACTTATTTATGTCGTACTGAATCGGGTAATGATTTGTTTCAGGTGAGATGATTCATGTAGCAAATTTAATGATGCAAGATGATGAAAAACAAAAATTAGCCTTTTTGACCCGGTGAGATTCGGCAGTGCGTCGATCATTACAAAAAGATGTGGTGCAGCAATGTTCAAACATACAAAAACCTAATTCAGAATTCTAGTCATGATCAATTGGATACCAAACATTTCCAGCGGAATTATCCAGCTAGAGAATTGTGGGGGAAATGTGCATAGAACGATGTACTAGACATCTCCATCATTTCTCTTTGATTTAATGCATTTAATCTAGAAAAACACAGTGTTTGGGTTTGAATATGTCCTGACTGTATTGCTTTTGAAGGGTGAAGGTTTAATGAAGGGTTGGAACAGAAAACACGGTATGTTTTCATACAGTGTGGAGCTTTAATATTGCTACTTAAGGCTACATTTAATAAATAACTAAGGGTTCAAGTGCTGTAGTTTTTGTATTTGGTGCATCTGCAGCTGACCAACCAGACTTACAGTAGACTGTTGGCTGATAGATTCATTGTAGGCTATTTGTCGAAGGGAAAGGTTCTCCTTCAAAATACCATAGTGCTGGTTTTCATAATACTTTCAAAATATGTTGACAACTTCTGAGAATTATTTTTCTTACTCACACACACATATAAACAAATTGATATGAGGAACGCACATGTTGGCACCCGATACTGTTGATGTCTTATTGTGTGGATACATTTGCACCTTTGGGAGATGTCTGGATTGTGGGGCTGCTAATACAGTGCATCACTGGAATATATACAGTATGAATTTTATTTTTTTTTACCTTCCACACAGGAGGGTCTGGTTCTGGTGGTGCCAGCGACCTGCCCAGGGAAACAGGAACACTTGACGGTTTGAGAGCGCTCCTCAATCTTATTCTTATTACAGCAGCGATGGATGGCCACCACCTCACATGTCCCCTGCTTCACCTGGTATGAGACTGAGAGAGAGAAGGAGAGAGAGAAAGAGAGAGATAGAAAAAGATGTGGTGAGGGGGATTATTTGCTAGAAATGACAATAGACTTTAAAGATGGCTTATTGGTGTTTTGACGGTTTGTTGCAGCAAAAGAATTGGCATTAAATTCAAATAAATGTGTGCTGCAAATAACAATCAAATATACACCACAGCAGTTTATCTGAGGATTGAACAAATGTGATGAATTATTTACTTTTGTATAAACTCCTCAATGTATTCCAGTCTCATACTCTTTGATTCATAAAGTAAATACTCTTTAGTGATGATTTTCTTTTATTCTCAGCACAGTGCCCTCATTAACTCATACACAGAGACGCCTCTGTTGTCCTTTTCTGAAGGGGGAAAGAAACGTTAAGAAAATAATAGTTTCTTTTGACTCCTTTCAGACATAATAAACCACTTGATCTCAGCAAAGAACGGACATGCACATATTATGAGCTATGTGGTAGCTTTTTGGCATTTAGCCATCACTGCGTATGTTTATGTATGGGCGTGTATATACAGTATGTCTGTCTGTCTGTGTGTGTGTGTGTGTGTATTGCACGTGTGCATCTGCTTCACACATCTCTATATTTTATGTTTCTATCTATGTGTGTGTGCGTGTGTGTGTGTGAGGTTTTTTTTCTGCATTTGTGTGTCTGTGTGTGATCCTCGAAGCCATCATTTATATGAGGATAATTGCTTTTCACCTGACACCTCCAACACACAAACAGCGTCTAATCTCCCATGATTATCTCCACACTTCCCTGGGGACCCTGGTCTGGTTCGTTATAATATTCTCTTGACAGTAATGGGACAGAAGTGCACGCTTAACTTAAAGTCAATTTTTACCCAAAGCTGCCTGTCCAGAAAGAAAACGAATGTGTAATTTGTAACATTGTAACATTTGTAATGTTCCTGAAACGATATGCTTTCTTACAGGGACAGTCGTGTGTGTAGCAGTTTATGTTTTATCATCGTTACATCTGCCACATGTATGTCTGTTGACATTCAGTACAACATGTTAAGGATGCTAGGAGCATAATGTGTGAATAGGCTTATGTTCATGTTCAGAAGTGTCCACTTCATAAGGTTTATGCTAATGTTACATTTCCCTAAGCACATTAAACACATAAATCTCATAGGAAGAGGGCTTTGTGGCCTCCTGAAGGAAAACGTGCCGACCACAAATGTTGGGGAAAATGTTTACTCAATCTAATCTTTGCTTATGGCTTCTGAACAGATTCCAGCTGCCTTATCTTCCCTCTCAACGCTTGTTGTGCACTCCTGAGAGTCTCTGGTACCGTTTCCCGAGCACAGCAAACCCTGCTGGCGACATTACTACCTATAAGCCTCTTTACAGCTCTGGAAAAACCTTGGTTATACTGTACCATAAGCCCAGATTTCATTTACGTGACTTTACCCAGACTCCCAAACTGTTCATGCTCAGCTGAATGAGCTTTGCAGGCAGACCAACACAGCGCACACGCAGCGCACACGCAGCGCACGCACACTCTGTCGAGGGTTCCATTTCTGCAGGCCATGGCCCCTCTCATCCTTTCTGATTTAAAGTTTGTTTGTTCTCTTCTCCAGAGAGCCCCATCAATGATCCCAGGCTCTCTGAGGGCGCCCTTCCGCTATCATCCCTCCACTTTCATTTCCCTCACTCCTCTGTCTCAGGCTCTCCTGAGGCTGGAGCAGCTGCCGGATTACCACCGCGCACACACAAATATATAGCCTGCTGATCAAAACCTAGACTTTAATAAAATTGAACCAAACTCAATGGGACAAGAACTATCAGTGTTGTGGTAATTATAACCGTAATGATCACAATTAGAGCACAGAGTAACAATAACAAATTTTTAAAAAGAATGTCAAATTTAAACACTCCGACTCGTGCCTTCATTATTATTTATCTGTATTGAAAATCACTGTTAGTGCAGAGCGGTGACTGGGTAAGACTGGCCCTTTGTCTGCCCCCATCTCACAAATAGGCAGCTTGTTAGTGAGAAAGAAGGAGAGAAAGGAAGAGGAGGAGGAGAGGTAGTGTCGCAGGCAGCAGAGAGAAAAAAGAGTGGCTCGCCTCCGACTAGCATAATGAGGTCAGAGGGTTCGCAGGTCTCCTCTCTTTATTGCTTACATCAAACCTGGGCCGGGCCTGTTTGTATTTTAAAACTGTAAAGCTGTGAAGATGTGTGTGAGCAGTGGAAGATAAAACCATCTGAACTTCATTTATGTTCCTATTTTGTGTCTGGCCAGCTTCGTATGCTAATTTAACTTACTAAAAACATACTAATTTATGGTTTAAATTCAGCCTGGTGTAACGTATAAGAGGTGACCAGGTTGGAGGGCCTCCGTTGGGTTTTTCCTGTGGTTTACAGTCGCAGATTAATGAAAAATAGAGAGCTGAAGGTGCTTTTCAAGCAAATGTTCAAAAAGCCTTTCTTTCATGGCCATTTTAAAAGGACACTCAAAACTACTTCAGTGTGTTTCAGATGTGGCCTGTGTGGCCTTAATCAGGGAGCAGCACAACACTGCATGCAGGCACACATTCTTTGATGATCCGTTGCTTTAAAGAAATACCATTAATTGAAATAAAATCATGAGTAAAATATGACGCGGATGTGGCTTTTTGCATTTGACCAAATATTTCTGAAACGTCATCCCATCACTTCACACATGATGGACGATGAAGACATTAGTCAGACAATCTAGTGAAGGAATTAACCTCAGTAGTCTAAATGTTACGAGTGTGGGCTTGTTTCGAAGCAGAAATGTAAATCTTTGAAGGAGCAACATTGCTATAAATCACACACTTGAGCATCCACGGTATGCAACCAATCAACAGAGGTTAGAGCCGTACAGAGTTTGCAGCCAAAATCTATGCAATGTGGGAGAAATTAACTCAAGACCACTCATTCCTGAAGGCACATTCTCACAATGTTCCGAAGATACATTTTTAAGGATACTTACAGGTATGTAGTTTTTCTAAAAATACTTACCATTTCCTTATTTACCACCTAAAAATGTTGTTCTAGAAATGGGAAAGGGAGTGTGTCAAAAATCTATAAAACAATACAGGACGTCAACTCCCCCTCATTCTGTCAAACTGGCATGGGAGGAGGACTTGAATTATACACTCGGATGAGAGTCTGAAGTTTAAAAAGTTGACATACCACCCCTTTTTGCATAAGACATGGTCTCATCCAATTCACAGTATTACATCGATTGCTTTTCCCCCGAGGTATTGGCCATAATAAACCCTGGCAGTAACTGGTAAATAACATGTGCAATTGACTCGATTTTAGTGCACAATAAACATATTTCCATGTATTGTTTGTGGTGTATTATTATGCACAGATGTGGCTGGAGCATTTCATATTCAATTCAACAAGGACTATAGGAGCCTAAAGCCACGACAGCAGGTCTGTGCGTAGGCACAGCATGCCAATGCTGACAATGCTAACATGCTGATGTTGAGCTGGACCAAAGTGGTGGGTCAACAGACAGACAGACAGACAGACAGACAGACAGACAGAAAGATCGGTGTTGCTATTCCTCACACCGCTACTGTGGCCAAAAATGGAAGTTGTCAAAATTGTTTTCAAAATGAATGTACAAATTAGATTTTCATGTTTTACTTAGAACAAACTGTCCATGTTTCAGTGCAGCCATCCTAACCTGTAAAAAAGCAAAATCATACAACAAAAAAGAAATGTCGCTGAGAAGTGATTTTTCAGAAGATGTTCCAGGAGTGAACAGCATAAAGTTGGACCAAGATTTGAAATAGTCGTACAAAACCAGGACAAGTCCCAAACATCAGAAAAGTGGTCTAGAGTGCAGACTGAAATACTGCAGCTTTACTGTGAGCACTCTTAGTCTGCACTCTGTTCAGAGAACGCTGCAGCCTCTCACAACTCATCTGCTTAAGATTCATGTGTTGAACAGTCAGCCTCCAGCTATATGCACACAATAACAGTGTATCTAATGTCTCAATGTTGCCTTTAAACCATTCTGTTATGGCCATCTCAACGTAATAGAGCCCAGCACACACTGAGATGAAAAGACTTCTCAAGCATGGCTAAATGCTTTTATTCCCGCAGCAGGCAAAGGGGGGAGGGTGGGGTGGGGGGGGAGGCAAGGTGGCGGGGGGTGGCAACAGTAGCCGGGCAGCCAACAAACCAAGCTACCTTGAACTGATGGGTTAGCCAGGCGATTGATGTATTCTGACAGACACAGGCAAGCAGGAGCATCGTGCAATTTATCAAAAAGCTGTGTCTTTCCCCCGTCAATACCCGACAAGCATGTCCACAGCTGTGAAAGGCCAGATACCTAGAAAATCTGTCGGAGGCGGCAAAGTCAATGTGAAGGGGACATACTGTACGTCTCTGTAGGAACTTACAGGTGGGTCTCAAGAGAGCAAGATTACAGAGATCAGCTGTGTGGAACAGAGTTGGAAACCGTGTCAAACATCTTCCCACATCATTTATACTACAAATCAACATATTCGTATACTACACCTACTTGCTGAAACTCCTTTTTTTTTGTTTGAAATTCCAACCTTTCTTACTTTCTTTCTCCATTTGCCCTCTTTGACCTCCACTTTCCTAACTTGCTCCATCTCCTCCTCACCCTGGTCCTATACGCAGCCCATCAATCCTCCTGACATTATCAGTGTTTAACAGGCCCACAGGCTTCATGCTAATTATCACAACAGGTCGCTGGTACGGCTGAGTACTCCTGCACAACAAATCTATCCCCAATAAAACCTGCTCACTAAGGAGACATCTTATATGACAGACAGACTGGTGTACAGAATGTTCAAAAATCCACCTGCATGGACGCACATTAAAGCTTGCTGATATTCAAAAAGCACATGAGTGTGACAGTATGCCTTTTCATGCAGAAAGAGACAGGTATGCTGTTCCTCACATGAGCCAAGGAGGGCCCAATAACACTTGAAGAAATGTGTCTTTATGGGAATTTACGATATCATTTGTGATCAACGGTATGTTGAAACAAGGATGAGCAATTGATTCTAGAAGCTGAAAAATTGTTTGGTTCGCTACGCACTAGTTCTGCAAGCTAGTGACTGAACGGTTGGTCTCAGATTATCAAATTTCAGGCATTCAAACAAGAAAATAAAAAGGGCATATGAGAACATTTCATTGTCAAAATACAGGAGAATATTGCGCAGAGCTGTAAGAGTAAAATAAATCCATTTAAGTCTGATGTTTATTCAAGAAACGGCACACAGGGTTGGAGTACATAATTGTTTGTGTTGCGCTACATTCACAGCTCCTGGAAGGCAATTTACTGTGTGACCTGCTGATGTGTAACAGTTATGAAATACAATAAAAGAATATATGAATAGCAATAGAGATCTCATTGTGTGCTAAAGTATTTGGTACTGCATGTTTGTCAATAGGTTTCATATTATTCTACACAGCCTTGCACTATTTGTGAGAGGTACAAGTGTGAAAATTAGTTGATGATTTTGATGTGCTGAATGTTTCAGTGCTATAATAAGTAAGATAAGCTATTTCCTGTGAGATTGTTTATATTTATATATGTTTTTAAGATGGATCTGATACTTGGCTCATTTTGTATATTTTATTCCCATGAGAGTGCTGCCAGAACATAAAAAAGAAAGCAGATGCTATTCTTTCCACGTCTATTTAAAGTGACAGCTGTCAGTCATATCATGTCTGCTTCGTTAGTTGCCATTCATTCCATCCGGTCCCATTATAGATTTGTTTTTCAGGTGAGTTTCTGTAAAATGACAGAGCTCTGAGAATGACAATGGACCAATGAGACTGAGATTAAGGAAAAAAATACATATTTCCAGAGGAGGATTTTCTGACCTCTAGAGCCACCATGTGGCAGTACATGGTACATCTCCAGAAACAAATGCCTCACTGACCTGCCAACACACCAGCAGTACAAATACTTAAGTAGAAAACACAGAAAACATATCTAGCAGTCATAATGAACTGCCAATTATTTCTCCGCCTCAAACCGTTGTGTGTGAGTGTGTGTGTGTGTGTGTGTGTGTGTGTGTGTGTGTGTGTGTGCCATGTTGGTATACACAAGTCCTTAACTTCCACCAATTAGAGTAAAACCCTCGAATAAAAAGCACCAGACGATTTGGGAGCGAGTCATTTTGTTTCACAGCGAGAGTGAAATAAGAAAGGGGCAGAGCCCATGCTGACCTTCACGATACACAGGGCCAGCAATTAGTAGTGTCCCTGCCGTAAGCAGGCTGCCTCCTCTCCGTCAAAAGGAAACTAATACCATCACTCACTGCACAGACTGGATGCTGGTAGCATTTCTGTGGCACATAAAGGTCACCTTTCAGAGCACCAGCAGTGAGACTGTAGAGACCAAGAGATAATTAAGGAAATTGTCATAATTAAATGTGAATGGGAGGAGGTGACTTGGGAGTCGAAGTCGAAACGCAAGATGCTGTGACTCAGCACAACTGTCCCTGCAGCCAGCCCCGATAAAATATTAATAAGACCGTGTTGGTCATTTTTTGGTTGGGTGGCGGTGTGTCTCCATGACTTATGGAAATTAAGGATAGAGAATAGATTTAGCTTGTGGGATTAAATTAAATCAACTATGGTTTCTATCTTTTTTTTTCATGGATTTCTCAGGGAATAAGCAAAGTCGTGCTTTGGTTAACGGTGGCCCTGCAGAGCTATGCATATTAATGTCGGCACTGGCAATTTGGAGCCTGAGGATTAGAAGTCACGAGCCCACATGGCCTCTCCTACACGAGACACACACCCTATTTTATAGCAACCCTAAATCACTAAGAATTAAGCCGCTTGAGAACAATACCATCAGCCCTGAACTGCTGGTCGTCTGCAACCGCTCTGCAGAGATCAGATCACACTCACTCTGATCTATTTGTGTTGACAGCTCCTGACAGCTTAAGTGCCATTTGTATCTGGAAGGGCTCGATCATTCAAACAGGGGTGTGTTTGCATCCAAGCCCAAAACGAGGTCTCGTCGAGATTACATTATGTCACACTGAGGGACGGAGCAGATTGTTCCCCGCTCAGCCCCCTCCTCCAGGATCGGGATGACTCAGTCAGCATCGGGCTCGGGGAACATGTGTTGTACCTTTGCAGTGACAGTGTAATTAACCTATTGTGGTGTTGGAAGTGGGGGTTCAGAACAAGACCTGGTGTACCTGTCGGTCCCCGATGGTTACGGCTGCCAGCGGACACCGGGTCAATGCAGAGCATCACCAAGGCAACGAGGAAGGCCACCTGCACAGGCCAAGCTGACCTCCCCCACAGTTTCATCCTGAGAGAGGGAAAGAGGAGAGAGAGGGCCAAAGAGGAAGCCAGAGGGGGAGAGGAGGCGGAAGAGTGCATGAGAAGAGGTCAGATCCCCCCCCCCCCCACACACACACACACACACACCTAAAAAAAAAAAAGACAGGATGCAGAAGAGCACAGCAAACACAACATATTGCTTTTCAAACAACCAGAACCAACATAAAAGTCGAGCAGGCAAAGGTCAAAGGAAAAAATGACAACCTGGAGAACAGAATTGACCTGAGAAAAATATTCTTCCAGCCAGTACAGACACACATTATGTGGGTAGAGCTAACTCACCCGCGGCACCACGACAGTATGCTACCAGCATCCTTTTATGCCTATTAGTATCACATTAGGATTAACTCCTCCAATTTCCCTCTGGCAGCAGACAATTACAAAGAAGTCGACTTTATGAGTCATGACGGGTCACAAAGAAACATGAGGCTCAGCTCAGAAACGATCATTTGTGGGTTAGGGCTGCGACTAATCAATATTTTCATCATTGATCATTCTGTTAAGTATTTTCTTAATTCATCGTTTGCATATAAAATGTCAAAAAATTGTGAAAATCACATGACTTTGCCCAAAGTCGTCCGGAAATTGCTTTGTTCGACCTACCTTCAAAAACTAAATGATATTCGGTTACCTTTTATGATATCAGCTGGAACGAGTGAACAGTTACATATAACTGAAATGATCAATTATCAAATAGCTGCTAATACATTTTCTGTTGATCAACTAATTGTTTCAGCTCTATTGCGTTTTGGAAGTTGTAATCAATCATTTAAGTTATTTTTCAAGCAGAATTGCTGGTTCTAGGTCCTAAAATGTGAATATTTATATTTATTTATATCCATACAAATCCTCTATATTTGGGTTTTTAAACTGTTGGTTGGACAAAACAAGCAATTTGAAGATGTCAACTTGACTTTTGGGAACTTGAGGCGAGCATTTTTTTTTATAATTTACTGACATTTCATAAACTAAACAATGAACAGTTTCAGAAAAAGAAAGACTTAAAATAACAAGTTGCAGCAGTAGATGTTCTTGTGTGCATCTGCGCAGGATGCCGTCTCACCTGTTGGTTGTCTCTGTCTTCTCTGATCTGTCTTCCACTCAGTAGATCCTCTATGGACAGGGTGCACAGGCCATGGCTGCATTCACTCGCACCTTAGCCCCCCTCCTCCTCTTCCTCCTGCTTCTCCTTTTCTTCACCTCAAACAGAAGAAGCCCCTGGAGAGAGGAGGTACAAAGACACTCGGTCAGAGAGGCCAGTCTGCCCTGGGGTTCCTCAGTGGCCTCCAATGGCCTTGTATGAAGGTCTATACACACACACACACACACACACACACACACACACAGGGTAGAGATGTGAAGGCCTAGATTCTGTTAGATCCATTGTTTACAATAGGTTCACCTACCCTCAGGCTGAATGTGATCCCCACTCTAGATCACTCGCACTCATACACACACTCCCTCGTTCACTGCCATGAGCACACACACACGGATGGACACACTAAAACAATGTTTATAACACAATACAACTTAAATTGATTCCAAAATGGGTGTACATGAGGAAAAACTTGCAGAAAAGCTTCATAGTTGAAAACTTAACTGGCAGCAAATCAGATGATTAAACAAGCCGTATACACAAGTGTACGTTCTACACACACACACACACACACACACACACACACACACACACACACACACACAGAGTGAGTACATTTGCACAGTGTTTGCCAGGTAAATTAAAACAGTGTTGGAGGACAGCAGGAGAGACTCTCCCTAATTATAGCTGAGTGACAGCTTCTGATGCGTGTGCACTTCTTCTCACTCTCTTTCATGCACACACACACACACACACACACACACATACAGAGGAAATTATCATGCCACCGCCGAGTATGTCAACACACCTCTCTTTACAAAAGGACTAACTCCGCAAACTAAATGAAAGACAACAGATTCACATTAATAACAAAATCTTCTCCTCTTGGAACCTTCATTATTCATCATGACTCATTGATATGCAGCTCAGTCCGCTGCAATGCTCAGAAACTTCCTGGGAATGTGTCAGCTTCATCCAAGCCTGATACCTCCGCTGAGCCATCAGTGTAGTGCCACTGCCCCCTGGTGGGCAAAAAACTAACAGCAACTGCCACGAAAGAGTCAAAGATCGAGACGAGAAACATCAGGAACAAGCAAACCTTTCTACATAAGTGAGAACCTAGCAGGGCAATGTAGGTGAGATTAAGTTAATGGGTATTGTTCGTGTCTATTAAGAAAGATAAGTAACCTTTTAAAAACTACATCAAGGAGTGACACAGGTCAGAGAGAAAGAAATAGGATCTTGAGAAGGGAAAAAGAGAAGGTGAGATAATGAGAGGGCAGAAAATAAAGAGTGGACGAAAGGAAAGACTGGAAAATATAAAAGCAAGAATTTTAGGAGCAGTGGGGAAATTAAAAAATAACTGTTTAAACATATGCATCATATATTATGTTGTGTTGCACACACACACAGCAAAAAGTAAAGGGATGTGTTTGTTTGTGTATTCTGAGTGTATTCTTGTGTTATGGAATCCTGCAGAGGAAGGAATAATATTTGTATAATTTGTGCATATAGAATGCATATGCATAATGTATACCCGTGTGTGTGTGTGTGTGTGTGTGTGTGTGTGTGTGTGTGTGTGTGTG